ATTGGTACAACTTTCGAGTTTTGGGTGTTGGGTTTTGATGTTCAGGTGTGAGTGATTGGATATGATTAGGGATAGTGTTTGGAACTGCAGGTTCTAACTTGGAGACATGGAAGATATGATGTATGGAGCACATAGAATCCAGAAGTTGGATGGTGAAGGAATGAGTTCTGGGATGGGATATAATAGTCAAAAGAACCTGAGTTTTTTTCCAAGAGTTTCTTTGGTAGACAAGTGGACTGGAAGTACTTTGCTGTAATGAAGACTTAATCTCCAACCTTGAAGTCCAGAGTGAGTTTCCATCTAGTGTTCATGGGTCCTTAATATCATTCCTGTGTGTGGGACATTTCTCCTTGAAGGAATTGGTGAAGTTCATTGAGGTGTATGGCATAATCCCAGGTACAGATCAAAGAGAGGTTATGTTCCAGATGAATGGAAATGTTCAGATGATACCCTTATTGACAAAAAAAGTGTGAGACTCTAGTGATAGCACTTGGAGTGTTATTGTAAGCAAATTCTGCCAAGGAATGTAGTTTCAACTAGTTGTCCTGCATAGATGATCTATAATGATGAGAATGGCTGTAAAGCCTGATGAGTCCAGAAGTTGCTTGATGAAGTCCATGGAGATGGAATTCCAAGGCTTCTCTGGGATAGGAAGTTGTTTGAGCAATCTGTATGATTTATGTCTCAGAACCTTGGCCTGGGTCCAGGTAGTGTCATAATCCTTGACATAAGTATGCATCCAGGCCAGGTGTATCACTTCATAAAACACAAAGTTGGAAGTCGTTGAATTCTGTGTTAAGATGAGAATAAAATGGGCTGCTTCTAGAGGCTAATAGATGACCAAAGATGATTAGGACTAGAATCTAGAGTGTATTCAAGTGGAGTAAGAGTATACAGTATCTAAAGTTCAGAGTAAGTTGCTAAAGAGGTAGCAAGCACTGGACTCTAGTATATGGGTGATGTATAGTGAGCAAATATAAACAGACAAGCCACAGTCCAATGCTAAGTAATGACTCAACCTAGGGGCATCCTAGGAAGATCAGAAAGTCAAGTAAATGGTTAGAGAAATGTGAGGAATGATACCATAAGTGTAATTGGAGATAAAGGACATAGAAATGTGCACTGTAGAGGTGAATAATCATATAAAAATTATGAACTAAGATAGTTCTTAACATCAGAGTTCAAAAGTGAACAATTCAAGTGACAAGTGATGTCTTCTCTCAAATAAGAGAGGTTCAAAGTTTCAATAAGGTGGGAAGTGTGCTTATTCAGATCATGGTTTAAATGACTTAAGCTTGGGAGGTCTAAGTGAAGGAAGTTCCAGGTAAAACCCAGTAAGATTAAAGTACAGAACATAGTACAAACTATGTGCTTAAATAGGCCACTTGGGCACATAGACCAAGATAACAATGGTAGGTAACAAGACATATATGGATACAAGTTGCAGTCAATATATTGTACATGTGAAGTAAGAAAGAAAATAAAGTGGGGTACATATGACTGTAACATTACTCCATTTTTATCCTTGATGTTATATCTGCATATCTGGATCTCAGATCCAATCCTTATCTCATCTCAGATCCAATCCACATCTGATCTCCAATCCTATCCACATCTTATCTCCCTCCAACATCTCGTCATCCAATCTGTCCACTTGTCTGGTCCAGTCCACAATTCATCTGAATCCACAACTAGCACTCATCTCTTTTTGGTAATCCCCTAACTCCGGTATTTTGGTTATCTGTATATCCGTCCTGCTCCCTGATCCATTACCTATGCTTCATTTCCATTTCATGATTTGTGATCCATTTCTATTTACCAATAGACTATCCATATGCTTTGTACATAGTCTCAGACTCTGCTGATTGATCATTCCATTAGATACCTATAGTATATAACCTCCTGTAACTCTCTGTAGCACCTCAGTTCGAATATCAACTTAGTTCTGGAATGTCAGGGATTTGGACACTCTGGGGCCAAAATCTGTGGCAGACTCTGATGCCTAACTCTGGGGCCCATCAGGAAGTCTGGCAGAGTACAGCTGAGTTTAAACACTGCTTGATGACAAAGCCCACCCCTTGTGATGCACTCATTGCTGGTTAGCATTGCCCCTGCCTGTCAGCATGCAGCTGTTATTGGAATACTGTATTCATGTGCTGCCCAAAGTCTATCTTATGATAATGCCATTCCCACTGTCCTTCCCACCTGTCTCTCTCATCTGCCCCCTTCCTGTGTTTCCTGCCCACCCACCCACCATTCTGCTGCTGGACTTGTCACTGACTGTACAAGCTGTGGTGGTGCTGTACCCATCACAATCTGCCACAGTGACAAGAATGGTAATGAAGGCAAGGCTTTGATTCCTTTGGCAAAAGGATCACCAACTCTTACAAGTTCACTGCCCACAGTATCTACTTCCTTGGGTGACATCTTTTCAACTGCCTTCCCTTCCACTTAGCTTTTGACTTCAACTGCTCACCCTCAGCGAAATGCCAAGAAGCTGAGGAAGCAGGGGGGTCAATGTGCTGGTCCTTATTGCTGCAAAGTCAGTGCACTGCAGTGTCCACAAGGGATGTGCCTCAGCCATTGCACAGAAAATGGAGGATGTCTGATTCATGGTGTGGAGATGCACAATCAATGAATGGATGTGCAACTGCTAGATGTCAATTCATTTTACCTAGAGGATGCTGAGGTAGAAACGAGTTATGAACATCATGAACTTCAACAGGCACTCCAAGCATCAATGGCTGCCACTGGTGGACAACCCTTCCCATCATTCCATGACCTCCTTGCCATTCCAAAACCGATACACCCCCCACCATCCCACCCTCTGCAACCAAGCAATCATGCTACCTTAGCCATGTACATATTCCCAGTCCACAAGCTTTCCAAGGCTGCTCACATGACTGATCAGCTCAACCCATTATGGGCTGGCGATCTTAATGCACACACTCAAGAGGAAATAATGAACCCGTGTATCACTGAATGCTGAAAGGAGATGGAGCATGCTTCAAAACAACAGTTCATGTTGTACTGGTTTGACAGGGTAAGCTCATCTTCAATTATCTTTCACAAGTTGTGCTCACTGTGAGTTTAGGATGATATACCAGTCATGATGCAATGGATTGTACACTGCCCCTACTTTCCTCATTATCAGCTTGCTGACAATCCATCCCTGGTCCAATCCCTTGGTGATGACATCCAGAAGATTGATATCTTCAAGGAGAGCTTCATGTGGTGGTCCCCATTGTCCCTTAGCCACACATTTACCCTTGAATCAGGTTGTCATATCTTCATCCAACACCATGGTGTCACTCAGTGTAGGGAGTTCAACAAACTGTTGAAGTTCTCAAAGCAGACACCTACCCCAACACAAGTATATCACCAACACCCCTGCTAGCAGCAACATCAACACCATCGGCATCAGTCACCATCAAGCCCACACAGCAACCAGCACTTGGGGCAGATGATCTTGATTCTCATAGTGTTGTCTCACTGTTGCCAATACCCCCGCCAACAGCAGGATCATTGACATCATCAGTGTTAGTCGCCATCAAGCCCATAACAGCAACCAGCCCTCTCTCAGTCTACTGCTCCGGGTGTCATTCCTGTGCATGTTCCCATATATGATCTGAGCTCGCTTTAGTCAGGAGGTACTGTTTGGTCTCATCTTTGGTGGTACCTCCTTCATTCAGGCGACTTATCACCAGAACTGCAAGGCTTGGTTGGAGACAGAGCCAACCATCCTCTGTGCCTTGGGTGAGGTCAGCAAGAAACACAGCAGGTGGACATGATTTTTTTCTTGTGCTCCTCCTTCACTCACTCATTGATCTGTCTTGCTACTTGATTTATTCATTATATTATCACAGCGTTCTAGACATTTCACACCTTGATTTGTCACTTCTGTCATTTACACACTTGTATTCTGTACTACATGCAAACAATGTTGGTTTTGTCTGCAATCACATGGTAGTAACAAGAGTAGAAGTAGGTAACATAACACCATGTACCAGGAGAGAATCATAGGACAGGTGGATGGTGGGGAAGCTTTCCCTGTGCATGGAGGGTTGATACAGTCATACAGTTGCAACAAAGGATCATCTCATCAAGAAAAAAATCATACTTGACAGGTGTCATCTCTTGACAGATGTTATGGAAGCTGCCAAACCAAACATTTGTTTGTTTAGCAATTGATGAGTTGAAATAGTACTTCCTATTGTTGTTAAGAAGTTCTGGGTATGTAAACATTGTTCACACATTCAACAAGCAGGTCACCAAGGCTTTCGGTGAATGGAATCAAGCCAAGTTCAAAGAGCTGCTCACATAATGACTCATGGCATGTGACCAGCCATTTGAGGAGGTGGAACAACCAGAGCTCAAGGCACTCCTAGACTACACCACAGAGGCTCTCCACTTCATATCCCTGGAAGACTGGCCATCAAGTGCTGCATTATGAAGATGGGAGAAGATACTATTTAAGGTGTCAAGGACATGATTGAAGTAAGTCGATGTCGAGTCGAGTTGACTCAAGCACCAATCAATATGACAGAATCTTGAGTCCAAAGTCAGCCTTTCTCTTGATGCATGGACTTCAAGTAATCAATTCACTTTTCTGGCTATCATCATGCATTATATCATGAATGACTGGAGTTTGGGTATGTCATTGTAATATCTTTTTGTGCTAGATTCTAACTGCACATTTACAGAAGAACTTTTGATAAATTTTTGTGAGATTATCAGTAAACATAGTGGAGCTAATCTTGCCGAAGCAGTGTGGAATACCTTAGAGCTACATGGATTGAAAAATTGGGTCATGGCAGTTGTATGTGATAACACCTCAAATAATGACACCCTACTTCAAGCACTTGGAAATAAGTGTGCCAATGAAGGAATTGACATCTCTCATAAGGACTCACACATCTGCTGCTTGCCACACATTGTCCACTTGGCTGCCATGCAGCTGCTTGAAGGTATCAGTGCAATCAAGCCAGATGCAAAGCAAAATGGTGTCACATCAAGATTCAGTCACAGCACCGCTCGATCATGAGCATGATGACTATGCAGCTCTTTTTGATGAGGCTGATGACAATACTGACAAGCAGCCTGCCAATGATAACTTTGAGTCATTGCAGCAGGTGCTCTCTGCTGTCACAAAGGTATGACTACACTGTGTTTTACATATTCTACAACTAAGACAAACCTAGCTTCAAAAAATTGTCCATTCAGTCTGTTCAAGCCCACAATGATGGAAAGTCATGGCTTGCAGCAGTCACGATTTCTCTTAAGAAGGCTGAGAATGCGATGAGTCAAGTCACTTTCATGCTTATCTTGGATGTCAAGACCTGTTGGTCATCCACACATCAGATGCTCTGGCAGGCACTTGATTTTCATCAAGCTATTGATGACTTCATTGCAAAGACTTGAGACCTCAGGCCATATGAACTCTCTGATGCTGATTTGGCAGGGATTGAGCTAGTCATGCAATGGTCAAAGGCCTTTTGCTCCACTACTACTCAAATGTCTACAACAAAGTGCCCTATGTTATCTTCTGTACATGCAATCTTTCATGGACTTCAGGAGTCACTTCAAGATGACTTGGCAGTGCTTCCAGATTCAGCACCATGGAAGCTGCAGTCTGCACTGACAAGTGCTCATCACAAGCTCAGTAATTATCACTTCAAGGTTGACGAGTCACCTTTCTATGTCTGGGCTTCTAGTAAGTCATCTCTCATTGCAAATTGGTTCAGCTAGCTAATTATCTGTGTATTCTGAAGTTCTTGACCCCCACATCTCATACTATGGACTCCACAGTGACTGCAAGGATGATATCACCGCACAGATGCATATTGAGAGGCAGAAGAACAATTTACATGCTCTATACAAGAAGGAGTATGATATTGCAGTCTGGAGTGATTTCAAGAACATGTTGTTTTCAGAGCAAAGGCAGAAAGATCAAGTTGCATGATTCCATGTCATGCTAGAGTATGAGTAAATAGTTTGTAACTTCTATATATCTATTCATACAAACTGTGCAAGTACCTTGAGTGGAAGAAGCAAGAAATGAGACCTTGATTAAGCTGCGCAAGTGCCTTGAGCAAGGGAAGTCAGAAACAACACCCTCATCTAAGCTGCATGAGTGCCTTGAGTGAGGAAAGTCAGAGATGACACCTTATCAACCTAAGCTGCGCAAGTACCTTCAGTGATTACACCTCTGGTGTTTGAGAATAAGCTGACTTGCTCTCTAGCAGGTCATCTGCATCATCCATGGCTACTCTGGAGAAGCTAGAAGTACTGGACCACCAGATGAGGTATAGGAGCTGACATTGACATCTCCAGTAGTCTAACTTGGAGTCTAGGATTTTGGAGATCTCATATTCTGGTTCTTTATTGACTTTCACCAGAGGTAGGAGTTTTCGGGACTTGGTGATTCGAGTCTCGAAACTTGAAATTCAGATATTGGTATGACTTTCAAGTTTTGGGTGTCGGGTTTTGATGTTCAGGACTCGGGACTCGGGACTTGGTGATTCGAGTCTCAAAACTCAATACTTGAAACTCAAAATTCAGATATTGGAATGACTTTCGAGTATTGAATCACTGAGTCCCAACACAACTTCATGTGTCAGCATTTGGTATTCGGGACTCAGTGATGCAAGACTGGAAACTTGTTCGGGTTTTGGGACTCAGTACTTGCTGTGTTGATTTTGATCAATGTTGACAGGATCTGAGCCTGAATGTCATTGATGACTCAGATCAAAACTAGTGCAACAGCATTGCTCATATGTCCATATAGTATACCAATACCTCGGCCCATATGTCTAAATGATATGTATCTGGGTCCACTCATTTATATGACATCCCCCTCTGTCGGCCCACCTGTCTATCAAATATACCCCCACCTCAGCCCACCCATCTACAAAATAATACTAATACGTCAGCCCACCCATCTATCTAATATACCCTATGTCGGCCCACCCATATATATAATACATATTTCCCTGCCCCATCGGCCCACCTGTCTATATAATATCTACCATACATCTCTCTTCAGCACAGCTGTCTATAATATATGTCTATCCTACTCTACATATTGCCCAGATGGGCCCACCCATCTCCATCAGTAATAATATTTCTTCTGGCCCATCTGCCATCGTTGAGGATATTTATAACATCAGCATAGATGGGCCCACCCGTCCCTATCAGAAATAATATCCCTCCCGGCCCACCTGTCAACATCGAGGATATACATAACATCAGCCCATAGTCTGCTGGCCCATATAATATGGAGTTTGTCACTGAAGGGGCTCTACTTACCCCCCACCAGGCAACAATATCATCAGTCTCCTCTAGTGGCAAAGACAAGTACATGTTGAGCTCTTGCTGAGGATTGTGAGTGAGATAGTCCATCTCTTGACATGTCTTGATGGCCTTGTGCATCCAATCATCACCATATTGGTTCTTGTGTGAGGGTCTTGTTGGTAGAGGAGATGGCTCTTTGGCACTGGCAGGAGTCTGACTTGAAGGCTTGTAATAGACATTGAACTGTAAAACGAGATGAAAGGAAGAACAAACAGCACAAATGAATACATACCACAGCCTCCAGGCAAGCTTTACCAGCTGCAACATCTTGAGTATCTGTCATATCCCACAATCCAGACCCACATTCCATAATATTCCCATGCCTTCCAAGCCTATGTCTGGACCCCATATCCAACTCATTCCCAGATCCCCTTCCGCTGTGTGCTCCACACCTCAGCTGGATTGACTCTGCTCTGGATTTACCCTTGAGCTCTGGACCTCTGGATCCTCACTGCTAGCCTTATCCATACTACCCTATCCTGTCCTGTTATGAACTAGGATAGCTGTAACAACAGCAGCTTGATAAGAGCGACAGCTGAAGTTAAGTCAAGACCTTGCAAATGCAAGGGTTGTAAGACAAGACAAAGAGAGTGTCTCTGGCTTGAATATCGGTTCAGACGACTGAGGATTGGAAGTCCTAAGCAAGAGAATGTTCAGGTGAAAACCTAGTAAGATTAAAGTAGAGAACTACTGAGTACATTGTTGACTATATATAGTGAATCATAGGTAGTTCAGGGCAGGTGTAAGTCAACAATGAGTCAGATAAGAAAAGGATGCATAAACGATAAGCATGAGTCATCTAGTGACGGCAACAGCAGTTGTGATGTAATACAAGATATATGAGATAAGTCTAGCGGTGGCACTATGTGGCTCATGATGTAATACACAATGATAAGAGAAAAGAGATAGGGGTGTACATGATTGTAACATGTCCACCCTATGCACACTCCATCCAGCAAGACATCCCAACTTCACCTCGTCTTGGATTCAGAACTATATCCACCTCATCATATCCCAGTCCTGTATCCACCTCACCTTCTGGATCCCCAGATCTCTGGACCTCCGGACATATTCCTGCCCTCTGTTCCATATCCTGTGCCTATCCCCATTTAGACATCTCTGCCTTTCTGGCTTTTGGTTACTTCTTCTTCCATCTTGCTTATTGATCCTTGTATGAGTCTTCATCTCTGAGTTCATTTAGTTATGTTCCATCTTACTTACTAATGTGTTTCCACATGCTCATACATAGCCTTGCTCCTTTGCTTACTGATCCCCTCAGATATTCTCCAGTATATAACCCCTGTACATACTCCTGTAGTTTCCTCAGTTTGAATATCATCTTAGATCCTGTTCTCTCATCTTAGACTTTGCTCTACTTGCCCAATCCTCTCTTGGACTTTGGTCCACCTAAGTCTGTCCTATCCATCAGGCCTAGGGATTGATTCTTTAGGCTGGAGCATTGCCTTTCTGGCACTTACCCTCTTTCCAGACTTAGGTCCAATCCCTGTCTCTCCGACTCTACCTTAGGGTAGTCTACCTCTGTTTGTTTCTACATCAGACTCTGTCTGATATAGCCCCTGTTCCTTCTGGGCCTCTGGACGTCCCTCCGTACCTCTGGACATCCTGCCCTCCTGTCCTCCCATCCTCTGGACCTTCATACCTCCTATCCTTCCATCCTGTTTCCTGTAAAAGTGTTACCTTGCAGTGGGAACTCTCCCATGCTCCTCCAGAAGTCCTCTAGCACTCCACCAGAGTAGCCAGCCTTTGGAAGTCCTCCAGACTTTGTCAGACCATCATTGGACCTCATATGAAATGAAGGGCACATACTCAGGTAAGGGGCATAGCATATGAGCTGAGGCCAAGCCCCTCTGAGTCAGTCTCTCTCTCCCTTAAGCAAACCAGTTCTTAACACAGATCCCCTTCTGCTGTGTGCTCCATATCTAAGCAGGATTAGCTCTGCTACAGAATTACCTCTGAGCTCTGGACCTCTGGATCTTCACTACTAGCCTGATCTGTACACCCCTATCCTGTCCACCCTATGTACATTCCATCCAGTAAGACATCCAGACTTTACCTCCTCTCAGATTCTGGACTACATCCACTGCCTCACATATCTCAGTCCTGTTTCCACCTTGCCTTCTGGATCCCCATATCTCTGGACCTCTAGATATTAACTGTTACTATCTCTGGGCCTATTCCTACCCTCTGTCCAAGATCCTGCACCTATCCCCATTTGGGCATCTCTGCCTTTCTGGTTCTTGGTTATCTTTGTTTCCGTCTTGCTGATTGATCCTTGTACTAGTTTCATCTCCAAGTTCATTTAGTTATGTTCCATCTCACTTACTAATGTGTTTCCACATGCTCGTACATAGCCTTACTCTGTTACTGGATGACTTCCTGTAGGCTCGAAAAATTCTGATTAGAATATCATATCATAAATTCGACCATATTAGGCAGGTGTGCCACAATGCTGCTGTTCATTACTGCTCAATTTGCAAACATGTGTCACCTACCCCCAACAGATTTTGCAAACTAAAATAAATGTCATCCTTCCATTTTTGGCCACTAACACCAGCAATATCTGCTGGCATAATCCACCTTGCTTGACATGCATGCCATGCAATGCAACACCTGTGTGGTGATACTGACCTATGTCTTCAACCTTTCATCAAGTATGCTAAATGTTTCTTTCTCCCAGCTCTATTTAGATGATACCCAGTGACCAGTACAACATACTGGGATTGCCCAGGCTGTGACTGGAGTGCAGCAGTCTGAAGATAGATACATGTCCCAGGTGTATGATGTAAGTTTTAATCATTCTCTGACCTTCACAACATGTACTTATTACCTTGTAGTGACATGTAACAGTGCCCTCTCAGTATGGACTAACAACTCCTGCAAACTTCTCCCAACCTCACTTGTTGCCAGCACCCTCAGTGTCTGGGTCCCACCTCCTGCCACCTAGTGCATACCAGGACCCTGCTCTAATCCTGCTCCCAGACTCACTGGATAGGGACCTTTGTGACCCCTTGGTGATCGCTGAATCTCATGGATATGCACCTACCATGAAAATTGGCAGGGCACACTGCAAGACTAGAGCTAGGGGAAAAGATAAGGAGAATACTGACCTGGGTAGTGCTGACCACCCTCAAAAGCATGCACATGCTATTGAGGATGATGAAGATGATCCAAGGACCAAATGTGGTTGGCCCAATGGCTCTAACAATTACAGCACGGCTGATATCTGAACCCTCCTTGACCTTGTTAAAGACAAACTTCCTCTGGGCCAGAAAGGGTGGCAACTAATACACTCAAAGTTCATGTGGTGGGCAGCCTGTAATGGCCACCCTCACCATAAAGTGACATCACTTGAAACTAAATTCAAACAAGTAAGTCATGATCTATTCTATGACAGCCATCTAACATTTCAACCTTAGTTCATGAAGACCATGAAGCCCACTGGTAACAGAGTCTGTCCTCCTGATATAACTCATGCCCATGAGTTCAATGTGTGCATCAATGAGCATGCTGGTACCCATGACCTAAACAACTCTGACTATGATGCCCTAGATGATGAATTGAATTGTAATGAACAAACCATCAAGGTGCAAAGTATGTCTCCTCTTGAGCACACTGCAGTCACTCGTGCCACTTGGACAGATACACCTATCCTACGTCGTTGAGGTGCAGCAGCATCAGAGTTGCTTTCTTGCATCAGTGGGGCCTTTGACCCTGGTGTTCAGCAAGCTCAGGACAAGGATCACACCACCAGATCTCTTGCAGACACACAGTTGCTTGCCCAGGGGCAGCAGCTGCATGATGCAAACGCAGTCACAGAGAAATTGCAGACCCAACTGTTTGACTTGCAAATGAGACTATTTGATATTGAATGTGAGCATGACCTTACCCAGCTTCATCTGGAGATGATGCAGATACACTCCTCCTATCCTCCAGATCACACCTCCTATCCTATCCTGCTTTGGACTTTGTCCCCTGTAGCCTCTCTTGCATTAGTTTCCATTAGGAACTTATGCTGTGTAGTCTGTAGACTTCTTCCCACTTACCAGACAAGACTTCTCTGGAGTTTTCCATGCTTCTCCAGAAGTCCTCCAGACTTTATTAGACATACAGGACTTCATCTGAAATTAAGGGCACATACTCAGGTAAGGGGCACAGCATATTAGCTAAGGCCAAGCCCCTTAGATCCAATTCCCCCTTGAGTATAGTCTTAACACATCTACACACATTTACTCCTGCACTGTGTACATACCTGCAGGTTAGTTCCTGTGCCTTCAGATTGCCTTACAGATGTTATATGTCAGTTCATTGTCCATCCTACCTCATTGGTACATATTTTACTTCACCTTGTGTGTTGTAACAAGTGATGCAGCCTTATTACATATTTTTACATATTCCTACTGCCTGTCTCTTTCATTTCTGAGAGAGTTTAGCTAGTATAAAGTGCCTAGAGTAACTATTTTATTTACTTCCATTCTATTATATTGCCTTCTCTTAGGTTTTACTTAGGAGTAGTCACCATTAGTGCTGTCATATCCTGTATGCCGGACCTAGATCCCATAATATTCTCACACTTTCCAAGCCTATTTCTGGACCCCACCTCTGACCCATTCCCAGATCCCCTTCTGCTGTGTGCTTCATATCTAAGCAGGATTACATCTGCTATGGAATTATTCCTGAGCTCTGGACCTCCAGATCTTCACTACTAGCCTGATCCATACACCCCTATCCTGTCCACCCTGTGCACATTCCATCCAGCAAGACATCCAGACTTTACCTCCTCTCTGATTCCAGACTACATCCACTGCCTCACATATCTCAGTCCTGTTTCTGCCTTGCCTTCCAGATCCCCAGATCTTTGGATATTAACTGTTACTATCTTTGGACCTATTTCTACCCTCTGTTCGAGATCCTGTGTCTATTTCCATTTAGGCATCTTCACCTTTCCGGTTCTTGGTTATCTCTGTTTCCATCTTGCTGATTGATCCTTGTACTAGTTTCATCTCCAAGTTCATTTACTAATGTTCCATCTCACTTACTAATGTGTTTCTGCATGCTCATACATAGCCTTACTCCATTGCTTACTGATCCTCTCAGATATCCTCTAGTATATAACCCCTGTACAACTCCAGTAGAATCCTCAGTCTGAATATTGACTTAGACTTGCCCAATCTTCTCCTGGACTTTGGTCCACCTAAGTTCTGTCCTATCCATCAGGCCTAGGGATTAATTCCCTAGGCTGGAGCCTTGCCTTTCTGGCACTTACCCTCTTTCCGGACTTAGGTCCAATTC